TCCCTCCTCCAGGAACCTACTCAGCCACCCTGAAGAAAAAGGGAGAAACTTGGTCCGAGAAGACCAGTCCCGAGAGAAGCGAGGGGACTCGGCCCTGCCCTTGATAGTGGAGTTCTTCCCTCCTCAGTCCGACCAGAGTGTTAGTGCCCCAGTTCGACCCGTAAGAGTAGGTCTCCCGATAGAGAGAGAAAGTTTTCGACTCTCTCTCTCTCTTACGCGCGTTTGTCCAGGAACCGGGTAGCTCCTTATTTGTTTGTGAATATCGTAAATTAACACTTTTTTTTTCTTTATACTTTTGTTGAACAACCTGGTAACCTTTACACACTTATGTAATAAATTAATTATCAGACTCGGTTGTGGGATATTTCTTTCTCGGCCGTGAACAGGCACGAACCTTTCCTCCCGAAGGAAGAAAGAGTTTCTGAAAGGATAGTTGTCAGGCGCGGGACGCTAGGGAGCGAATTTGATCAAATATTTGTTGTCTGTTCTTAACAACCTGCCGCAGCGCCCAGTGCCCGTGACATTTGATGCATTTGCACGAGCAGGTCGATCACAAATGAAGGCACCTACCTACCTAGACATGTCATGTCCATTCAAATGGATTCCTTCCTACTTGAGAGCCTTGACTTCCTAAATGAAGTCACAAAAAGTCTTCAAGAAGGTTTGGTTTGCAACCATGGCCACAGTAAATTGCAATCACAAAAGGCTCACTGACAATGGAAGACCTACCCACACCACAAAGCTTCCCCAAAATTTGCCACAACTCCAAACTACTGCTCTTGAAAAGTGGCAGCCCATCAATATTAATCATCAATGAACATGTTGAGGACAAAGAGGAAACTTCACCAAGTCTACTCTTGATTCCTGACAAAACGCCAAAATAGCAATATTTCCCTGAACCAAGAAGAGTTTTCATGTGTTCTGATATCATTTGGAGGACTTACATGACCAGCGTGACAAAGAATTCCTAAGAGGTCATCCATGACAGATCCTGTAATATTATGCTTAATTTTCCACTGCGCTAATGCCACAGAGAAAGATGAAGTGTCATCTGAGTCATCATGACTAGGATGAACTTTACGAAGAGGAAGTTCAACAAGGGAATCAACACTTTCCTGAGGATCTACCATAGGTGACCAAAAACAAAACATACTTGCTTCAAGCCTGTCAGCACTACAGTCACCTTCAAGTACAGAAGTCTCCAGGGTGAGAATAACTTCATCAACATCTGTTCTGAATGATTGGGGGAATATGTACAAGACATACCAGATACATCCCTGAAACCCCTTGCCCTTGTCACCCTTGCCCAAATTTCATTCACTTCTTCATGCGACTTTCTGTATTTTGAAGACCTAGACGACATTTTGGTATGTGAATGTGAAAAGACCATGAAAGAAAAGACCATGAGAAGATCATGAAAGAAAAACTTCACTATATACTGCAATTTTTCTATAAATGTGGATACCTGAGCAGAGGCTTAACTTAGGCAATTCTAGGAGTATCTTGCTCTTTACTAACAGCAAATGGTACTCAATCAGTCAGGGGCAGGTTCAAGGAAAGATTCTCCTAAATCATAAAGAATTGACTTTTCCAGGCTTTGAAAGCAGGCCTGCAGCCAAAAGCAAAAAGAGGAAGAGGAAATTTGGAAAATGCAAAATAGACTGATACATGTTAGACATACTGCAAGCCCCAAGCAGACTGCAAGCCCCCAAGTAAACAAATTCCAAAGCACCCTATTTCAAAAGGACTCTCATGGGGATGCTAGAAGCACTAGTTCCTTACTGGACTCTGTCAGCATCCTTCACCCAGATCTTAAAAACAAAAATAAAATAAAATTCACACCAGGTAATAGTAAGGGCAAGGAAGCTACTGAATATTCTCCTTTCCACATAAACGACATAAATTACAAGCACAAGCACCCACTCATTACACACGTCATTTCCATACATACTCTAACCCAAAATTAAAGACCTGACCATGGCATGTGTCCCTTACAAGTGAGATCAAGAAAGTAGTTGCCCTTCATCAGTAAAAAGGATATACAGTAGTTACGATATACAAAAGGATATACGATATATAAAAAGGATATACAGTTCTAGGTCTGCGTCAAGCGGTAAGTCTACGGGCCGAATGCATGAACGATGTTTTCCCGGTGTTTTTCGAAAGTCATCGGTTAACCGATGTCTACGGCCAAAAATGGATTGCATGAACGCTATCTTCCTTTAACCATTGTCTAACCGATGTCTAACAAGCTGAAGGTGTCGTTTCCAGACGAGGGATGGGGCATGTTTTGCCGATATTTATGCCAGCGTTCGTGTACCATCTCGATGAGTATAGCGTTGCAGTGTACACAATACAGTGAAGCACAATGGATTCTCTTTATGGATCCGCTCGATAACGACGATGTGCTCTCGTCGTCGCATGGGAGGAGCTAACATATGTTCTGAGCTTAATCCCTTTGAATAATATGTCGATTAGAACTTCCGCGTGAGATACCAATTTGAAAAGGGATCAGGGTATGGTGTCGACCTGCTTCGCGCTGAACTCGAATGGAACGAAGATCGTGGAAGGGATTGGATGTTAAGTTTTGTGAAAAGATTGCAGAGTTCAGGGATTTGTTCAAATTGTTTTGAAAACGGAAGTGTAGTTTTGAGAAACGGACGTTAGCAATTGGGAAAAACTAAGAGGGGATGTGAACAAGTTTTACATTCACCTTGTGGATCTTGAAAGGTTAATAAGCAAGTGCTTCTATGAAAGCTGTGAGGAGTGTTGGATACAGTCCGGATAGTGATTTCAGGAGTTGTGTTCTAGTAGGGGGATGAGTAAAGGTTTTGTCAGTATCTGTTCGTATATTAACGTTGCATTCTTTCTCCTTTCCTGTTCCTTGCATTTATGGACAAGATCATGTGTAGTATAGGTTGCAACTGAGTCATCATCAGTGGTGCATCACCAATAAAGTTAATTTTCTTGGCTGGTGATGCCGTTTTAATGACCCAGTCTGTCATGAGCAAAATGCATGATGATTCAGTTCAACTCAGCTTTTCTGCTGAAAGAGACTTAGTCTCTTTTTTTTTACAGTGCTTCTTTCCCAACCCTTAACTATGGCTATAAACTTAGGGGGAGTGATCAATAGAGTCAGATCATAGACAAAAGCTGCCAAAGTGAGGGTCTTATATCCACTGGCTGGTGTAAGACTTTGTAATATGATACCGATTACCATCATATGTGAGAGTCTTCAGGATTAGTAGCCACTTCTCCAGATCAAGAGATCTCCAGTCTAGTGGTTTGGGCAAGTTTGCCACATGCATCCAAAGAGAATAGAGAGACATTCAAAAAGAGTTTCTCATTCCAGCATAATAGGTGAAGGACCAGTTGGCAGACATTGGGCAAAGTGGAAAGGCTGTGTTGTGCAGCTCTGTCACAAGATGCTCAACATCCCATCCACTTTGCTGGAGTCTGTTGCCCAGGGTTGGGAACATTGCATTGGATGAACAGTCATGAAAATGAATGTCCAAAACCCATATGTATGGGATATAATTAATGCAAGGTTTAAGCTAATTGCCTCCTTCATTGGACTCCAATGAATAATCTCTTTTTATTCTTCCAGAGTAGTCTTGCTAGTACAAAAATTTGTTAGTCGCTTCAGTAGTCAGTATGTGAGACCTCCATGAGGCAAACCTTACAGTAAGACAAGTCCAGCTGTACCTTATCATTTCTGATTGTATTCCAAAGAAGTTCAACAATAGTGTAGTTTGAAGGGAACAGAAGTTGAAGAGTTGCATCAGAAAGCAATGCATGTAAAGGATGTAACCAAAATGTTCCTGTGAACGACAATTCCCCTTGTTCCCCCCTCTGCATTGCTAGTCAATGCTGGGGGGGGGGGGGAGGGGAAACAAGTGAAATCACTAACACAAACAATAGCTACTAATGCTTGTGTTTGGAAACACATGCATTTGCAATCAGTATTGTTTCTGAATATTTACAGACACTCCCCATGGCACATACCTGTAACCCAAGGAAGCTTTCCACACTGAGATTGGCAATGTTGCGTAGCTATAGGGTCTGTCTGTCTTGTATACCAGAGCAAATTTGCCGAAATCAAGGAACACAAAGAGGGCTGTAATTTTGGGGGACCCCACAAAGGAAGCTCAGAAAACATGTAGAAAGACAATTTAGCTCTGCATTTCATACTACACAAATAAAATTGAGAACATCAAAAGAAAAGGGTCAGGACACTGCCATAGAGCACATCACCATGGAGAAAAGAAGACAGGATCTCCCACATGTTCATGATCTTGCAGGGTCAATGTTGGGGGAAGATGGCAAGCATTAAGAACTGCCTCCCATGGAATATAATCAAATAACATAGACCTCTCAAGGGCAAGGCATTGCAGAAGATTGCGTGACTCTGAGCACACCTTGCAGAATTTAGCAAGGTTATGGATGAGTTTTGATTGCTGAGGGAAATCTAAATTTAGTTTCTTGCATGGATATTCCCAGCATGGATCTCCTGGAAGAATGAAAATGTTCTTCTTACAATTGTCAATGTCAATATCAATTCTCCTTTTTTTATGTTTACACAGGTTAGACCAGAAGCACCTAATGGCCCCATGGCAAGAACTCACCTGGAATGAAAGCTATCCCTAGCCTGATGGCACTGATGGAATCTTGCTTCCAACCCCGGCTGAGGAGAATGTAGGCTTTCAAAGCATACAGCTTGCCTTTGAGGAGGTTTTCAGGAAGGATATGTTCCTTCTCTCTTGAAACTAAGGTGTGTCTCATTTGAAGGAGAGCACTGCAAAGAAACAAAAATGCTTCATGGGAGTACATTTATGCCATATCAGCTTACATAGGGCCCTAAAATAAAAGATGTCCTACTCAGACAAGAAGATAAAATCTTGAAAACTGCCTCTGAGAAAAGGAAAAAAAAATAGGAAAGGTATGAGGTCAGGGATAGGACTAAGGAGACAAGGCAGAGGAACTACAGTACTGGTAGTTACAACTGAGGGCCGATTGCATGAACGATGTTTTCCCGGTGTTTTTCGAAAGTCATCGGTTAACCGATGTCTAAAGCCAAAAATGGATTGCATGAACGCTATCTTCCTTTAACCATTGTCTAACCGATGTCTAACAAGCTGAAGAAGGTGTCATTTCCAGACGAGGGATGGGGCATGTTTTGCCGATATTTATGCCAGCATTCGTGTACCATCTCGATGAGTATAGTGCTGCAGTGCACTGGTAAAGCACAATGGATTCTGTTTATGGATCCGCTCGATAACGACGATGTGCTCTCGTCGTCGCATGGGAGGAATGAACATATATGTTCTGGGCTTAATCCCTTTGAATAATATGTCGATTAGAACTTCCGCGTGAGATACCAATTTGAAAAGGGATCAGGGTATGGTGTCAACCTGCTTCGCGCTGAACTCGAATGGAACGAAGATCGTGGAAGGGATTGCTTAATCCCTTTGAATAATATGTCGATTAGAACTTCCGCGTGAGATACCAATTTGAAAAGGGATCAGGGTATGGTGTCGACCTGCTTCGCGCTGAACTCGAATGGAACGAAGATCGTGGAAGGGATTCCTTAACTTTACATCGACAGATCAGAAATCACTGTTCGTGTGCAATGAATCGTGATTTGTTCAAGTACCCATCCCCTGAGTAATTAATTAATGACTCGAAAGTAAAGAGAGTATCATGAAAGCCTTTCAATTTGCATGTTGTGCTGACCCTTCGATTTTATGTGGCGTCGATTCTTAGAAATGGAATGGCGCAAGCCATTGCCCATTTGCATCACTCATTACATTCCTAGGAGGAAAAACGGAGAAGTTATACGAAGATAATTATTTGATATTGCCGGATTTCCAGGAGTGATCGGTGTCATCGACGACTATCGAACTCGAATAGAATGCCCAGACAACTTTAATCAATCCCAAATGCTTCTATTTCATCGATGTCCAAGCAGTGCGCGATGTGGAAGGTATTATTACAGAATTCGTCATCACGTGACCAGGATCCACAATCGTACACAAATGATATTCCTATTTTTCACATTTCCTAATTCTCCGTGTGTCCAAAAGGAATCCTTGGCTTTATTTCTGATATATTGAAATACAGAGTAAGGTCAGAGGAGAACTCACCACTTTCCATGCATGATCATTGGTTGTGCAAGGAAAATGCATTGTCTCTCTCTATTGCGAGATTCTCCTTTACAAGCTCTGCGAGATGTACTTAGTCTGAGGAAAAGTTCTCCTTATTCACTCGATTCGCTCGTTTTTTGTGGAGTCCGAAGTGTATCACGCGACAACCGAGGAGTCAGAACGTGCTATAGGTCCATAAAGGGTGCCATGAGGGGTGTTTAGCCATCGTCTAACCATCGGCTATGAAAACATGGCTTAGGGATCGTTCACGCCATCGAAAGTAGACAGCGGTTAACCGATGTTTTCGTAGACAATGTTTGAACAATGACTATCGATAATCAATGTCTAAAATAAACATCGTTCATGCAATTGGCCCTGAATGTCTATAACTCATTTGCAAGAAAAAGGAAAGGACTCACTCATTCACTGCTTCCAGTGCATCATCATATCTTGTTTCATGAGCAAGAGCATATGCTCTGAGGGCAGAGACCACTGGTCCTATGTAACTTCTCTCCAAGACTTTTCCCAGTGTTTCCAAACATCTAAGATGAAAGCTGAAATAAAGACTCTGAATATTGGAAAACAATCCTGTTTCATGAGAATTTGTACTTAGATCCACACTTGTGATGCTCAGAAGATGCCAAAAGAGCAGCAGCCAATTCAATATTGATTGTCACCAGAGATGGCAGGGCAGAGATTGAGCTGAAGCAGTCACAAAATACAAATTTGGATTTTAACACCAGCTCATACAATCGCACAGCTTCCCTTGCATCCTGTAACAGTGAAACATCAGTTGGCATGCCAGCCATTACAGGTCAGTGATATAACTTGCAAGGTCACCTTGAGCTTGGCAAGACGGTGAGCAGCATAAAACAGCAACTGGATGATGACTGTTGGTTCTCGGGTTGCAAGGGGAATGAATATGCGCAGGATGACACTTTCCAAATCAGTGCAAGTCACGCCCTGAGATTCATTTCTCAGCATCCATTCACAAGCCTGAAAATTATGCCAGAAGGCAGTGCTGGGTTAATTAGGTTTTCATTGGAAATATTTTGGGAGAATTACGCAGGTCTGATTAGTCATCTACAATGGCAAGCAAAGAACTGGGATATGAACTCAGAATTCAGCTAAGAGTACTCCTCCTACCCATCAAGTGAATTACTAGTACATGTGTACTATTATGGTAGTCAAATGCACACCTGTAAGAAACAACTTCATCTATAGAGTGTTTACATTAAAATGAACCCTCCTTTCTTTTTCATGCACACAAGGAGACTCTCCTGTTGCATCAGCATACACATGAGAATCCTGTTGATTCTCTCAAGTCTTTCTAAAGTGATAGTGCTCCTAGGAATATGCAATGGTAACTCAAAATACTTGAAGCACTCCTCTGCTGTTTCAGATGAGGCTGCAGCCCTTCTCCAAATGTGACATCTTGAAATGTGACACACGAAAGTAAAAAAATCCCTGATTTGGTGTGGTTGTGCCAATATTCCAGTTGCTGGGACACTCATTATGAATTTCCAGAAAAGAGTCACTATCACAAGAGTCTCTTGTATTGTAATCCTCTTCTGCATATGTTCTGAACATCTCAACTGAGGCATAAACTCAAAATAACTATAAACTCATGTCCTTCATGATTCCCGACAGTTCTCATCATACCAAAGTACAATAGACTGCTTCTTTGAATTATTTTCCATCTTATAACCTCAGTGAATCAAGGAACTTGTTTCACACCTCATAGTGAAATTAAGAAATAGGATATTTCTTCAATCTAATCAGATAATAACATCTATTCATCAGTCAACAAATTCCTCCCATTTCAGCACATATTCCATGTACAGGCTTATGTTTGTACCATCTGCATCATTGTATCATCCCAAATAAATTGATCCACAACTTCATTAGGCATTAGCAGTGCACTCTGGCAATTAATATTCACCACTACTTTCGAAGTAAAATGACAGTGTAATGATAGCTACCCCGAAACTCCACAACATAATCCACTGTGATTGCTCCTTGTGTTAGGAAATTTGGGAACCTAGTTTCCATTTCTGAAAATTCATTTCCAACAGATATTCATGTAATACAAAACCCCCAAGTGCATTTATCAAAGAAGTGAGTTTGAGAGCTTCAGTATACTTGTTCCTATCTCTGTTCATCCTGTGCTCCTCTTGCCAGAGGATCAAATCTAATTATCACCACTACTAGTTTGATTCACAAAGAGCTTCAGAGAAGTCTCAAGAAAAGAAATTGTATTGCACTTTTCAATACAATCTCCATGAACATCAATGGCCTTTGGCAGTGATTTCAGCTTTTCAAATCCATAAAAAAATGAAGGCATGGCACAGCATGTGGGGGCACATGCTGTGCCATGCCTTCATTCAACAATTCCTTCATTGGATTATTTCAGAAAGAAATACAGTTTTTGTTCCCATCTATCTTGTGAGTTGTCATTCAAAATGAAGAAGACACTCTAACATGAGTAAGCCAAGTTTTGTTATGAAATTACATTACTAATGAAAATACTTGTGAAAGTTCAAGTCTATAATATTGAAATTTTCACCTTCATTAACAAAGTTGCATACAGTGAAACCTGTGTAATGCAGCCACAAGGGGGAGTTTCAAAACTTGGCTGGTTCTGACAGGTGGCTGCTCTTAAGAGGGGAATTTTATTCCACTTTTTCCACTTGAGTGAAGCAGTTATCAGTCAGTTTTACAGGGAAATTGAACACTCTTTACTCCAAAGGTACTATAATTCCGATTTTGTCCGATTTCAAGTACAATATGTACGTAGAGAGAAATTTAGAGACCATTATATCTTTGTAAAGAAGTCTTGAATCTTTGTTTGACATGCGTGCATTTTTTTTAACCACACTCGCTCCCGAAGAGATTTCTGAATCATCGTGATTGCTTCTACAGACTCGTGCATGCCTTTCTCTGCAAAAAAGCACCTTCGCTAATCCGTGACATTCAATGTTTCCCCAAGGTCTTGTAAAACAGGCAGCTGTTTCTCAGATCCATCCTCTGCTTCTTCCTAACCCTCCTGCTTGGTCTCAGCAGTAGCTGGTTCAAAAAGATGCAGAACGTTGGTCTCCCAATCTCCTTTCTCAAAACTCTCGCAAGTTAGCAAGGAATCCTCCAGTCCTGACAGGAAGTCAGCAGAATTCATGTCACTAGGGAAGATCTCCATGAGCAGGTTCATTTCCTCCAACTGAAGGTCAATGACCTGGTCGTCCTCGGGAACAGACAGCGTGATTTTGTTCAGACTCCAAAAACCACAATTCTTGAAGCACTTTTGGATAGTTTCAATGCTTACAGCATTCCAAGCTGCTGAGAGTCCATACACAGCATCAATGATGCTGAGCTTCTTGGAGAGATCGCTGACTTTATCGCATTCATCCATGTGAGAAATGAGGATTTTGAGCGAATGTTTTCAGTAATACTCTTAAGATCGTTCTCTCTCTGTGGAAACTGCGATGTGACCTTGACAGGTAAGAGATGGGTCAACATGGGGATAAGGGAGGGGATGGAGAAAGGGAGGAGAGGAGGGAGATAAGATAACTCTTTCTCTGAATTCTGACTGAAAAGCAGGGAAATAAATAGAGGACGAAAATAAACCTGAGACCTTTTCCGTTCGGTGTTCTGGCCAGATTAAAGAGTATCCAGCACAAAGGGTCTGCAAATCCTTGTCCGCTGGCTGCGTTAGACAGGTGGCTGGATAAAACAGGTTATTTTAACATTGAGCCTATGGAGCTAACGATTGGGACTGAAGACTTCTGGCCACACATCGGAGGTGGCTGCAATATCAAGGTAGCCAAATCCACAGGTTTCACTGTACATTGAACACCATGAAACATGAGCTCTTGAAGTAATTGACTGTGGTCTATGAACAATTGAAAATGAGTTGATTGCAAGTAAAGTATGGTGACTTGCAAATGAATGATTATACAGTATTTGATGGATTATGGACCCTTTTTGGATACAAGCATGTTTGGGGTAATCTCACCATACAAAGATTTGAAATAGCTTATGTGGACAGTATTTGGTGCATCTGTATGAGCCAATACATGAATATATATGGGGTCACATATTTTCATTCTTACATGATTTAATGCAACTTGTGTCAAACCCCATATATGTTTCTTATATGTTCATATATGAACTGCACTATATGGTTATGTATGCCCCATATAGGTGGACTGGCTAAATATATGGCCATTTCATGCATGATCTTATATGGAATTTTCACATGGGCACCTCCGATGGGCAAAGCTAGGAAGCCAATATTTTTTATATTGGAGGAATGGAGTGATGTGTACATGCCACCAGGTTTTCTTCTTTGGAGATGTGCTGCTGGCAACATGCATTTTGTGAAAGTAAAAAGAGCTTATGGAAGCCAGCAATCAATGATCTCATTCAGCAATGTTTTTTGGTCCTGTCACAGTCATAGCACTGACTAGAGTAGCAACTTGGGCTGGGTGGTACTTGATAATACCAAAGTACCACAGTACTCCACACCCACCTTTGATCCCACCCCACTTAAGGGAGAGATTAGTAATCCCTAAAAATGGGCCTTCCATACTGTGGGTCTCATTTTCCAAGTACTCAGGATGTGAACAGCACCACAAGAAATGACTTCCTTGGGTGGTAATGAAGCTGCAGGCATTTTCTGATTGTGTAGCTCACCCATGTCCAATGGCTGATCCAGAAAATTTTTGGGAATAGGGGATGGAATCCCAGGAGAGACTGGGGTAAGCATGAGATGCTGAGAGAAGCTGGAGGGGACTGCCTACAAATATTTACTTGAAACAATCATGGGGTAGTAATGGTGGCACTCCCTCCCTTAGATCTACCACTGTCCATGTCTTGGTCTTCTTTCTGTTCTTCCTCTTTGTTTTCATCAGCCTGGTGCTGGGAAGGCCTGAACAATCATATTTGTCATCAAGTAGATCAATGTCACTCTCTCAAAGCTAATCAAGGAGTTCTGTGTAATTGGACACTGAAATTCAAATTTACTGGTGCTATGCCTTGTGGCGTGTTTACATGCCATCTGTTTTGACCCATCCCATAAAAGCTCCATCATAAGTCAGGTAAACCTTTATTTATAAATAGTTTCCCACACTATTTGGCAATGCAGTTCAACATGTATAATAATTTTAGGGCCAATAATGGGCAATCGACAATAGCTTTTATGATTGCAGACAACATGGGAAGCCATATTCAAAGAAGCTCCAAGTACACAAGTCCCTGCTGTGATGCATATCGAGTCCAATGAGGTGCATGCATTTTTTTTGGGAACTCTCTTTAATCCTTCTATGGCTTACAGTGTGATCCATGACATAGACGTGATTTCAGCAGTGGTTTTAATGTGTTAATGTTTGGCATGGTCATGCCATGGGGTCTGAATAGGTTAAATTTCTGACTGATAGTGGTCAAGGAGCAGATGTAAAGCTCGAGGCTCTCCAGCATCTCCAGAAAAATCTTCCAGCATTGGAAGAAAAACGTCCAGAATGAAATCAAGAACATTCCACATCCAATACTCCAGGATGTCAATGAAAGCATCAGCAGCAGAGCATAAGGGCCTAGATGAAGAAAAGAGATAATTGTTTCCTCATCATGTGCATCCCATCATTCCAAAGATGACATGAATGCATTCAATCTTGATTCCTATTTGCTTACATGTTTCATTCTTCATTATGCTGTTTTCTAATGAATCCATTTTAAAATGTTTCCTTTGTGTTGAGTTTAGCAGCCAGTCCCTCCACGTGAAGGCATCCTTGAGCATAAAATTCTCTGCATCATGGTTCTTCAGGGCATGGTATTTGATGGATTGATATAGGGGCAGTGACACAGACCATGTCCTGCCTGAATGCATTGTATCTGATGATAAAGAGTATGACTATTACATTAATGCCACTTTTATTTAGGTTGTCTGCTGTTTAGTTCTATCTTAATCATGTCTCAAATAAAACATACAAACCGAAGAAAAATGACAGATTTTCCTCAGTATATAGGCAAAAAATGTGCAAATATGCAGATATGAAAGAAATCCTTTTTTTTTTAAATGAAACTAAAATGTACATTTTTGAAATGACATCAATTACTATTTCTCCTAATAAGACATGCTCCTATCAAGGTTGCATGCTCTTACAATGCAAAAGAAAAATCTGCTGCCAAGTCATCACAGTAAACTGACACAAACCCAGATAGATGATGTTCTTGACAGGTGGCCTCCCTGGCTCCATGTGCTATGGAACTGGGTACAGATAGTGAAAGTGGCAAAGCCTAGGCAACTTAAGGAGTCAGATGTTTTAAGTGATTTTAACACCACACAATGGGGATTGGCAATTCGGGATTCTCTTTCTTCTGCATACTTCTTGAGTGCAAGGAGTATCAAGGAAGAAGATACTGGGAATACCTGTATTCTTGTGTCAGAAAAGGAGTTGTCAGAGGTTTTGCATGTTGGGACCAATGATGCTCCTAAATCTGACTCGGATGCCATCACTTGGAAGTTCAGGCTAGCAATAAGGATGTGTGCTGATGCAAAAGGTCAGGGTGAAGGTGACTGCATCATTCCAAGTTTAATGGATATAGGAAGGATAGCATGTTCAAAATTAGCAGGAGTAAGCAATAGGTCAATGGAGGTCTTTAGTGCAGAGAAAGGCAGTGTTTTTGGATACTTGAAGCTATGAAGTGAGACAAATGTCTTTTATTACTTATCAGTCGTGGAGACATCCTCATTCTCCTGAACATTCAATAATTGAAAGCCGCTAGGTTTCTGATTCAATCAGAGATTCCTCTGCATGCTGATAATATATTTGACAAAAACAGTCATGATGGAATTTGTCCTCACTCTAAATCTCATTAGCTACACAGCACCCAGCATTTAAGCCATTTCTGAGGATTGACTAAGCCTGAAAGAATATCAAGGGTACTTATTTTGCATTCTCCCTATGTTCATTTGGAATTTGCACATGGTTTGGGACCTGAACCATCAATCTGAAGGCTCTATGTATTGCCAAACAGTCACCTGGATCAAGAGAGTGAGAAAGTCCTTTTCAGCCTCCAAGTTTCCAATGATCGCATATTGAAGAGCAATGGCATAAGCCACAATGACCAATGGTTCATGGCTCTGCAGCTGATAAATGCTTTCAGAAAATTCACCTGAAAGACACCAAAAGCAGAAAGGAGGATGCAAGATCACAAATGATTACAAAAAGGTTTCTTCAACAATAAGCAGATAAACAGGTCATTACAAAATTAATAACAGAATTCCTGGTATTAAAAAAAGTTTAAATTATTTTATTTAAATATAACATAGGGATTTTCCCACACAAACAGGTATACCGGCAATGTCTGATTATCCGGCAAAACTTCGCCCAAAAGTTTGCCTGTAAAACCCTGGAACTTACCACTTCTGGTATGTTTTAAACTTTGCTGCCCTCAAAAAGTCTTGCAACACTTTTTGTGTTAAAAATTATTGGCACCCATAGCATTATCTATGAAGATTTTCATATCCTCACACAGCTTAATCTCTTACCCATGCAAAGCACCCAAAGAGCAAAAGAACATGATACTGATATATGCTTGCAGGATATGATCACATTCTCAGAATATGAAAGTGGGGACTGGGTGATGTTTCTGCCATTGTGCAATGCCAAAATTCTGAACTAGATTGCTTTTGAGGCAAATTTTGGAGGAACACTTTCACAAATCCCCATGTCAGCGCATGCTTTGCATAGGTAAGAGATTAATCATAGATTAAAGAAATTTTCACAGATGATACTACAGGTGCTGAGACTTTGGAACATGAAAAAGTGTTGCAAGACTTTTGGAGGGAAGTAAATTTCCATTCAGTATAGAGATGGGCAATGAAAAAATGATTGCTTCTCTCTCAAGCAAAACTTTTCACTTTTAAATGGTATAAGCAGTAGGACCAAAAAAAAATTCAAGCATGGCACATCAATAAATTATTAACAAAATGTGAGAGCTAGAATTTGCTAATGAACTATGGATTTGAAGATGCCAACTCTTTGTCAAAGTAGATGAAAAAAATATGCAATATGTCAATCACCATTTTCAACAACAGTTGTCAAACACGACTTCCACTGACCATTACCTCTGTGGAAAAATCAAAGATTGAAAGCATATCACATTTGGTAGATCTTTGTTCCTGGATCCCACAGATTCTGAAAAATGGCATTCTGTTAAATTTCTTTCTCAAGTGTTAACCAAAATGCATGGTGTTCTGAAGATACATCATTCTCATAAGGGTGTATATCAGGTTAATTCTGATGTGACATATCTGACTCTCTGAAGTTCCCAGGCAAATAGATTTGTCTTCCAAAAGCAAGGTACTATATTCTGAAAGTCTTGAATGACTGTTTCTGTTATGCCCATGCCAGATTTGATGGAACCTAATTGAACTCTAGCCACAGAAATATTTCAATTGGCACTTTTTTCGGCAATGCAGTTTGGTGAAAACTTCAGGAAACAGACCTTAGGTATACCACCTTCAGAATCTGATAACTGCCAGAAACAGAGAAGTTTCTCAAGGATAGAAGAGGAAACTAGCATTTCAAGTGAAGCCTCCCAAATGCCTTGGGTGTTCACTTAGTTTTCTTTGAATAGCCTCATCCAATGCCCTCTGTAAGGGATTTATGTATCACATTAAAGGCAAGCCTCAGGCATGCATTCCCAAAATGCCATATGACACCAAATCTGTTGGCATGCAATAGGATATTGAAAAAAAATAAAAATAAATTGAGGAATGGATAGAAACTACTACCTCCCTCTTTCCACTCTTTAAACTGCTCTACATGATGACTCTGCTTGCCACCCAAATTAAGATCTCAGCTGTTATTTCCTCCTGGACCACAGCTGTTAATTTACACTCATTCCTGGTGGAGATCAGCTGGAAAATGAAGCTCAGACTGGAGTCTAGCAAGACTCTTCCATTTGAACTGTGAATGGTATTGTTGGTTGCTTCTTGCTGGAGTAGTAGCTGGATTACAGCTGTAATTTCATTTCTATTCCAGTTGAAGAATCTTGTGTAGTTCTGAGCTGGATTCAGAGTTTCAGGACATGTCCTCTACCAACTTATTCACTCATAGTCACAGTGCTCAATAGCTTAAAAGAAATGTATGTACACTGTACTTCATGTTTCTGAAAGAAACAGTGTACCACTTTGATTAATCTCAGCTTTTACCTGAAAATGTAAAAATCCTAAATATATAAATGATCACAAAGTAAAAAAATATGCACAAAATGAAGCATACAAATAATGTAACTTAAATTATTACTGGCCATTTTAACCCTCAACTGGTATTGTGGGGTCATAAGAGTCCCCATCAAGTTGATGACCAAAAGATAACACTGTGATCAATGTGTTCATCCCAGTACCTTCATAAGGCATTGGGATCTCTCTTTTGTGGCTAACATCACTGCAGTGAATTTAGCCATGAAACTGCCATGATAACTAACTTTCCATTCCTAAAAACTTGTTTTTATAGAGTTTCATTGCTGGAGTCAATATGACAACATGAAACTATTTACATAATGAAAAAACTAGGATACCAGTTGAGGATTAATATCTGTTGAGTCACACTGACCACATCCTAGCTGCATCCACATAGGAGTCCCAGTCTGCACAACAACAATGACTCAACGTTGATAATATGTTGAGAGGGTGTTGATGCTGATGATTCAATATATAGTCAACATTATATCAACATATGTCGGGCAAGATATTTGAACAAAGAAGGTTTCCCTATCCTGAAGTGAGATATCACTAACACTGGGATTTACCTCATATATGCAACTGACACACGTCCCAAGAACTTTCGGAACGGTATTTAGTATTTCCTCCAAAGACAACAATGGGGAAGGTATTTGAATTCCTAGATACATTCAATGAAAGAGGCAGCCCAACCCAATGAGATCCTTGGCAATACTGGCCCAGAGAATGGAGAGAACAAAGTTCATGTGTTGATATGACTCCATCAGACCCCCATCATTAACCAACGAAAATTTATCTAAACAAGCCTCCTTGGGTTGTGAGGAAGAATGCAAGGAATGAGTGACAACCATCTCATCTTGGCCTGCAATCACTCCACCTCTCCATCCTTCACCAAGACCTGCACGTCCTGGCCTGCCCTTGGCATAGAGTCCATGTCGAGATGGAGAAGGGATTGAAATCTTGCTGTTGATAATGGAACACTCCCATATCCATTCATATGCGGCATTCAAACGACGCATGTGCATGTGATGAGTGCATGTTGAGAAATTGTTGAAACTTGTCTCATTCCAACAGTGTTGATTCAATGTTTTATCAACTTTCTTCAACATTGTGGATGTTGAGACCTCAATGCTTTTACAACGTTGTATCAACATTGATGTGGAGACTGGGGTGGTATCCAGCTTATTTGGAAGTATGCATGGTAGGGCAAAACTATGAATTCCACAAGTTGCTTCCTTGCTTCCTTAGCCCACCACTGATTATTTTCCCAGTAGTGATGAGGGGACGATGATTGCATTGACATCAGAGTGCATATGGCACTTTCCATTAAACTAGACATGGGACTGATTGAGGTTTTCACAGGGAAATAATACAGTGGGAAAGTGATATGTCATGGAATTACCCTCTAGTTTCACAAATGTTGTGGAATTCCCAATTTGTCCTACCTGCAGTTAACAATGAACTATCCAGAAATTCTGAAACCACCAGTTCAAAACCACTTGGGTTCCACCTAGTCCAGCAGTAACAGAACAGAATTTAAATCTCTAATCCAGCTGCATTCATTGGTGGAATATGGCAAGAAATGACAATTGTAACTATTTTCAGTCCACTGGGAAGTATTGCAATACTAACTGGAATGGGACTGAACTTACAGCTGTGGTCAAGCAGGAAATTATTGCAGTTTCCAGTTGGATTTTGACAGGGCACCTCCTCACTTATGCTAGCTAGTAGACCCAAATGGAAGAAAATTGGGTATTTGGGTACATAAAAACATGGAGTTTGTCATCACTGATGGTGATGGCAAACCTGATGATCACCTTTCGTCAGTAACAATTGAATCCTTAATGATGTTGCAACATCAATTGTGATTGGTATATATTTCTTGCATGAGCTCTCCAAGAGGTGAGGAGAGGCTCCATATAATTAACACTACTACAATGGTTGATTTGAAATAATTAGAAGCTGGCTCATTGATATTTTTATCTATGGAAAATTGAATGCCAAACAAAATTCAGCAATCAAGTTCAGATGTGACCTTGTCCATTAAAATTTGAGAAAAAAGACAGGATTTGAGTAGCATTTCTGGAGAAAACTAAAAAATGCAGAATGTAATAAGGGTATAGGAGTGAGAGGCACTGCAAGACCAAGTTTGAAATTCCTTCTTGTGAACAGAATTTTCCTGGAATTTGGTCTGTGACAGAATTTATACACTGCCAGCTCCAAATCAAGATATATAGAAGCCTTTTTTCTTTGCACATACACAGCAATAGTTTAACACATGGAGGATGGGAGATACAAATTTGTGTTTTCATGTAGGGTGTAGTTTCACCCTACTGTGCTGCTTTCTGTGTACTATTTGGTTTGAGATGTGCTTGTGTGGATTGTAGACATTCTGATGTTTCTTTAGTACCATTTTTTACCATCAGCTATGCTCTTATTGCTTTGTATTTATTGATTAGTATTATTAAAATCTACATTATGTGTAGAGTGCCCATCTTCAATGTGTTAAAGTGATCATAGGCTGCAAATAACATAGAGGTTATGACTGAGAAGTGTAAGTAGTAACAATCAATTATGATTATACCACAATGAACAATATAAATTTTTAATGTAATGAATGTAATGCTAATTTTTTATTTAAAAACCTCATGCCCAGTGTTCATGGCAGGGAATATAAATCCTCATTGCTTAAAAGTTCATTTCTGGCTATTTCAGCAACTGGTAAACAATGGAAACTGTTGCTGCCTTATGATAAAAAAAATTCAAAAGTGTATATCTCAAGGAGAAAATGAGAAAAATGTAAGGTCTTCCTTCTTCAAAACTATCCCTCCCTCTTTTTTTCCTTCATATCCAATCTGAATGTTGCATTCATCTCCTCATTAGCTCCCTCTCATTCCTTGCATGTTCTATTCTGCTTACACTCAGAAGAAAATACACTGCTCACTGACAAAGACAGAGACATTCATTGACATTTTATTTTGTATCAACAATGACATTCTTTTTAATGAATCGAAAGCATATGCCCTTCCATCATGTATTAAGATATGGAGGAAGCAGAGATAAGAAAGATAATCAAGAAAGAAAGAGCCAAATAAGGGCAAATGTGAGATGACTGGCAGTAAACTAAGAGAGGTTTTCTTTTTTTTCAGGGGCTAAAAAAAAAGAAGAATGTAATTATATGGTTAACTGTTGGGACCTCACCCAACCTGTTGAGAATTGTTGTATGGGAAGCTTAACAAGGGTGAATGTAAGACCCTTCCTGTCAGTCCCAATAATGATGGGACTCTGAAGGTGTTTGGTTAAGTTGATTTGGGGGAGGTGAATGGGGAGAGGGACTTAGGGGTAGTGATCAATGAGGAACTGAAGTTCTCCTCTCATGTGCAAGCAACCATAGCTAAGAGTAACAGGATTTTAGGTTACACCTAGCACTCCATTGTCACACAATTTTCTTCCATTGTATTCAACATTAGCTAGGCTCCATTTAGAGTATTGCATTCAATTCTGGAGGCCTGCAAATAAAAGTGACTTAGCGGCACTTGAGTTCAAAGGCAGGCTACCATAATCACAAAGGATGTGTGTAGACACTCATATGAGAGATGTTTGCAAGTACTCTGGCTCTGTTTGCTCAAGTGAAGGTTAACACATTCGCTGCCGATGACGCTTGTTTCTATGGAAAGGATAACAACAAGGTGCGTCATCAGCAGCGAATGTGTTAATGAGGGGGGACCTCATTCAGACTTTTCAGATTATAAAGGGAATCAATAATATGGAGCACAATAGGTTTTTCCTTCTGGATGGTAGCAGCTGAATGAGGAGGAATCAGTTCAAGTTGCAAAAGCTTCAAGTGAGACTCAGGTTGCAGAATAACTGTTTCACTCATAGGGTGGTTAATCAGTGGTTTAGCCAGGGTTTCGCCAATGGGAGGGGCCAGTGACTTCTCCTTGCCTGGGGATGGGGGGGGGATGAAGCCTTCCCCCATCTTGCTATGCCTCTTTGGTTAATGTGTGGGATGCATGAGACAAGTGACTAGCTTTTAAGAAGAGGCTAGATACCTTCATGGAAAAAGAAAAAAGGGGAGAATAGTAGCATTAAGTAAAAGCAACTAGACAAGAGAGTGTAGTGCTCCCACAAAAATATGTATCTTTCAGAAGGATAGGCTTAGCATATTTTTAAATGAATGCTTGAACTCAGCCTGGGATGTTATAGTAGGCAGAGATGCCTCCTGACATCCATACTTGAATCCTGACTCAGTCAAGCAAACCTAAAATGGCATCTTTTGTTTAAATGATGACTAATTGGGAAACCTAACAGATAGAAAGAGCAGCTAACTGCACTTGCCTTGCAACCACCAAGAGTATGTTCTTCCTCATATGTATATCCCTCTACATCCTCCCTATTCCTTTCATTTCTTGCTTGACTTTGTGATTGATCCAGTGTTTGAAAAAACCTTCCAGTTTTTTTATTATTATTCCCTGTTGGTTCCTCCTTAAGTTCAAGCCAAATGGACGCAGGGAAGAAATCAACCAATGTTCAAGTGGACTGTTTTGTTAAGCATAATTTTTAGACAGAGCAACACAGTCATATCCATGCAAAACCTGAACTCAACCATATTTCAATAGAGTGGTTTACAAATGAAAACCACTTCCTTTTCATCTTGGTTTGGATCATGATTTTAAATTGATCTGATTTAACCCATTGTAATTTTAAAAAAATTTGCATAATTGAAGATGGTATTTTTCTCAGGTTTTTGCTTATGCACTTGTTGAAATGGTGCTAGGACAAAATGTCGCGGACGAAATGTTGCCGGACAAATTGTCGCCAGGACAAAATGTCGCCGGGCAAATTGTCGCCAGGACAACATGTCGTGAGAAAAATGTATTGGACTACTGTTAGCGAGACATACAATTGCTTGACAAAATATTCGCCTCACGTAATTAAAGATGCGCGATAGTGCTAACGATCGTGATGGAATCGTGCGTAGAGGTCAAGAAACGGATCCAAGTGTGACCCACTAGCATTTTAGAATAACCCTATCAACGAACATACAGCTAAGAATAAAACCATCTACAGATACAGTGAAAACTCGTTAACTCAAACCCTGATAAGTCGAAATTCTGCTTATCTCGAAGTTCAATGCTTGGTCCCGGCGGAACCCCGTAGGACACCGTGTTAAAAGCTCCGTTTAACTCAAATTCGCTTATCTCGAATTTCCGGATATCTCAAATAAAATTTTCACTCCCTATAACGATTTTCTCACGATTAACTCGAATTCAGGGTGAGAAGGGGGAAAAATTGTTCTTGTGAGACTTTTCGGTTTTTGAATAGAATGAATGACAAGACACCCTTTCGGGAGGATGCTCTTTTGTTTCTTTTTTTTCTGCTTCTCCCTCCTCCCACACAG